CGAAAAACGGATACAACGACAAAACGACGAAACCCAACACCAAGGGGGGGCTCGGCCAAAACCGAGCCACCTCTAGGTGGCTCGGCCAAAGCCGAGCCACCTAGAGGTGGCTAGGTGGCCGAGCCACCTCTAGGTGGCCGGCCCAGATCTGTGCCAAGGCACAGATCTGAGAGCCAATAAATAGACCCCCTTGGCTCATTTTTGAGAGGTTGGAATTTTGGACGGCGAAGCTCTGCTGGATTGAAGTCTCAAAACTTAAAAAGATTGAAGCTTTGGAACTTTGAGGACTTGGAGATATCAGATCTGGTTCTTGGCGATCATCCACGCCAAATAAGGTAGGAGTTCGAGAGAGATCAGATCTGAGATCTACGCAGTTTCCTTCCGGATCAAAGCTTGGCCTTTGATCCCGAGAACTAAAGGCTATTATTTCCTTGGCAAAATAGTACCCTCGGCTGTTATTTCCTTTGTGAAATAACACCCGTCATACTACGTAGATCCGACCGGATCTAGATCGCGCGGTGGTCCACGGATAAACCCTGGCGTAGGCAAAGAACCCACACAAACGAGTGACCGCAAAACAGGAGCTCGCGATTCGTTCGATAAAAGAGAAAAGTTGTAATTTTTTATTTCTTTTTCTTTGATTTCGTTGTAACCGGATCTTATAAAAAGACCGGATCTTTTTGTAACCGATAAACGATTACTTGAGAAGAACAATGATTTCCCACGAACAATCTGGCGACCATAGTGGGAGCCAACGATCTCGCTGCCGAGATCGTCGCGTCGCAGCCGCGGATCTCAATCCCGGTCGAGGAGGAGGTCGAGTATGAATTCGACCAGCAAAAGTTCGAGGAGTATCTTTCATCCTCGTCCGGATCTACATCCCCCCGCAAGTCCAAGAAGTTCTCTTCCAGGAGAAAAGTTCGTTGGTTTGAAGAAGTTCAGAACGCCAACGAAGCTCTTACCCCAGCTGACGCCTCCGCCGACCTCCAACCAGGTCAACCCTACTCCCGCCGATGCCTCCACCGTTGAGGGCGTTGTGACTCTCTCGAAGAGAGCCCGCCAGAGGCGACGTTAACGCTTGGCGCGGCAACTCACAAAAGCGATGGAGTCTACGGACGGAATCCGCTACAACGCGGATCTGAAGAACAGGAGAGGCAAACAGCCTCAACAACCACTGAGTGGTAGCTCCTCCAAGCCGCCAACGAACGAATGGGTCCGTATCAAACGGAACCGTTTGACACTTGAGGAGCGCATTCGCAAGCGCCGCGCACTATCAGCGCAGGTACGGGCTCAAGTCCAAGAGGCCCGAAGAAGACTGCAAAAGAAAGTGGCCAAGAAGCCGCCACCAACTCGCCAAGTTTGGAGACCGAAGTCTGAAGCGGCGACTCAGACTAAGGAGAAATCGTTGCAGCCTTCGAAGCAAGTTCAACCTCCGGCGAACCGACCGAAGTCGCTGGTAATTCCCATAACTTCTCCGGGAGATGCAGCGGAATCATCCCGAAGGAGAAAGTCAGTCTTGGAGCGCCTCGGT